TCTTCATCATTAATTCCTTCCTCGAATATCTGCCACCATCACCATCGCCATGCAACCCTCATAATTCAGCATTGCCATTCATGTCAGATGCTGCAACCTACTGAGCCGCTTGCCGCTTTCCGCACACGGCAGGGCACAGTGCGACACTCCCGATCCGCGCACAAGGCCAGGGGCGGGCAAGGTGCGGGCCGGGGGCGGGGCGGGGCGCGGGGCGGGTGGGCGTGCAGCAGCAGGCCAGCAGGGGGGGTTGCGGGATACCAGGGGGGGGGGGGTGTGGCGGCCCGGGACAGGAGAGCATACATACCTCTGCAAGCAACCCGTAATTGTAAACAGAACTATTTTAGTTCACAATTATGCGCCTCCCCCGCCCACAATTCACGTTACGTGGGGGTGGGGATGTGCACATGGATATCGCATACAAGTACGGCAGGCTTAGCATCACCAACATCACCGCGACCACCATTTCCATGGTCTCCATTCGTCTGTCCAAGTTCTGTTCCTTTTCAAATTCTTGAACAAAAACACTCGCTTGACAACGCGAAGAGAAACATAAGCATAGATAACGACAAACAAGCTGACAAACAGAGAGAAAGGCAAACACACTGGTTGCCCTGCCTTGCTGGTGCAGAAATCGTAGCACAAAGACGGTGACATCGCATTGGAGCGCATGGAATAGAACCTAATATCGACATACGCACGACCACGACGAAGCATTCGTGGTGGCGGCTGCTGGCTGTGTTTGTTGTTTTCTTCTACAGGACGACTTCCGTGCAAGGTTGGATGGCCGAGGAGCGGGACCCCACTCTTGCAAGGCAGCTTGCCGTCGTAGTCCATGCAACTCCAGTCTATCGCGGTTTTTCCTGCACCAATCTGCAGGATGACCAAGAATACCAGATAAGCGAGTGCCACAAGTGCCTAGCAAACCTGTGAAACTAAACTCAAACAGGGATTGGACGGACAGGGTTGATTAATCCTGTAAGGGAACGCGCAAGTCCGTGCTCAGAGAGGCAAGCCTCAGTGGGAAAACGCCAAATCAAATCTTTTTCGGTGGTGGCCACTTGCTGAAGCCTTCAAGCCCTGCATTCCGTCCTTCTCTGCCCGGCCCCTCATGTCCGTCGACGCGCTTGAAGCAGCCCAGTTCCTCGCAAGCCGCGAGCAACATGGTGCTAGGACCTGTGCAGCAGACAGACTTCTGAAGTATCTCCTGCTGTAAGCTAGTTCTTAAAGTTGGTTCAACCCGGTCCACGAAGTAACGATCCAAGTCGTCCGGAGCCGCGCAGGTCGCCTCACCGCAGGGAGCCCTTACGGTTCGGGGCCGGGGAGGGAGCCGAAAGCTCAAGAAGAAGCCGAAGATATCCGAAGCCTAGTTAGGAGCCGCCGCAAAGCTTCTTTCTGACTCTGCGCATCCGGGAGGAGCAAGCTCAGACTCACACCCCCATCCGGCGCCACGCCCCAAACCCGGCTCCCGGTGCAGATTGGCCCCTGGCACTGAGTCCCTGAGCTGTCTTATATATGCCCTTATGGGCAAAGCTGGATCTCATACTGAAGCTGCTGGAGAGGAGCTCGTGTGATTAAGCCGCGATCAGTTTCAATTTGCATTTCCGCGCCTGGCTTGGACAATTGCTGGCCAGTGCAGGGTTGCACGGCAGCACAGCGCAGTCGCAGGGCTTCGTCGTCGGAGGAGCTGGCAAATTTTCGCAGACCTCCTGCGAGCAGCAAACAACACAAAACTGCAGGTGCATCAACGGCTGCATGACAGCCATTGCTCAACATCGAATGTGTATTCCAAGCCTTATTGGTGTCTGCTTGACATCCATGCTACACATGACCGACGCCAGGCGCTCCGGCGGCAGAAGGGCTTCCTCAAAAACGGCCAAGCATTGGACATCGCGAATCTGCACTGAGCCTGAGGATCCAATTCTCGCGGCGCCGCGGCACAAAACCATCTGGTATCAAAACATTATTTAGGACACTCTGCATTGTTTTGACAAGCTCGGAACCTGCATCTACGAGCCAGGTGGCACAGCTGTCTCCGTAACGTGACACAGGGCGAAGTGACTCTGTACTAGGATCCGAGGAGAGCGGTGAATCTAGTAAAACCTTTTCATTGGAGGAGAGGAGAAAAGGCAGCACAATTTCGATATCAACACCAGCATTGCGACTTTATGAAATGATGTGCATTCATGTACACTGACTGTAAGCTAGCACGCCATGGAAAACACGCAAACCAGAGAAACGACTGGAAGAGCAACAACACGCGGTTAGCCATAAACTCGTGCAGCTTTTCACAAGAAACCAAAACACCAAGACCTCAAACTGCCGTCCCCGCCAAGGATCCGAAGCCGCACTGAGTGCAGTCACTGAAAGAGGAAGCCACCCAGGCAGCACCCAGCCAAGCTGGAGGACGGTTCCTGCGAAATTCAAGTGCAATCATCCAGACCAGAAGCAACGTGAGAATCTGAAAAGTTCAGGTCATGTCTTGTGGATTTCTTGATCCGATCAGAAGACCACTGCAACAAATGTCTCGCACTATCTCGCGAGGAGTAGAGTTGGAAGGACACGCTTGGCTGATAGCTGGGCTGTGGATGCGGGCAACCAAGAGCGTCGAGCAGAGGTGCTCAAAGACCCCACCGAACCCCTCAAAGCCTACATCTACCCAAACATGAAGCACAGCGGTTGCAAACAGCTTAAAAACCTGATGCAACGCACACTTTAAGCATGACCCTTCGTTACACCAACAACATCAAACACCCCATCATGATCACAGCCAATGGTAGCCCATGGCACGGAGGGACCGTTGTCGTAGATGTCGTAGTCGGTGTCGTGCTAGCGGTCTCGCCGTCCCGAGCGACAGAAGCAGCGTGAGCAGACAGCAGAAAAACGCCCACAGTTTGGAGTGCCGTTCGGCTCATGCCCAGCATGGCTCACAGCGAACTCGACATGAGGTATGTCGCATATTATCCTTTGACAATCATCCGGCTAGGTTGTGGGACATCAGCCGTATCCAGGAATTGGTCTGGCGCTCTTCAGTAGACTCTGGAGTCTGGAGGCTGAGCATTAAACAACTATCGAATGACCTGGGGCAGGGATGGACGAGGGGTTGCATGAAGCCGCGCCGACGTACACTCTTCCACTGCCCGCTGCCATACAAACGGCAAGTCACGAGCAAGTAAAGATATCAAGCGAACCTCCTGTTGGATCCAAAGCCGGAAGGACGGGTGCGGGCGCGAAAACAGCGGCCAGGACCCACAGGTTTGTAACCGCACATAATCGCACCAAGCGAGTTTGAATTGGGCAGCTGTGCTGGCACAGCTCCAGAGGTCAAGGTAACTTGCAAAATGCGCACAGAACACATAGCAAGCGAAAGATGCACTCAGCTTGTACTCAAGACCAAGTAACCAATATACGAACATGCCACTGATACATTTCACATGTTCCTTGCCTGTGGGGGGGGCAGCAACCACAGCCATCCCCACGGATCTGCCCACTCCGAGTGAAACAAGCACACGGAATTGCGCAGTAGCCATGCTCAATCAATGTCCGATGCGGGCAAATCACATGCAGCTGCAACGAATTTGATGTGCAAAGTCACATCATTGTCATGCGTTTTGCGTACGATAAAATCGAAACAGACATCTACGGTGTTCTTGTCAATAAAATCACTACCTTGCTGACGAAACTATTAGACTTGTAACAGAAAATGATCAGAGTGTTGCACTTTCACGAATTACTTTGTAAATCGCTGCAGTCTGTACATGAAAGCTTGGACCAGCTAGGCCACGTTGACCAGCCGGCATCCACGTAGGCCGACCTGTGCCGACCTTCGGATTCCGTTTACGAGCAGCTTACGGCGGAGTTGCACTGGGAATCTGGCGGATACCTGCCTCTCTGCCTCCAGCTCGCCGCCTAGGAGGAACTCTTCACGGTCGCGGTATGTCAAGATGTTGCAGACTGCGACATTCAGGCAAATGCTCATGCGAATCATCGTCCTGTGTTATTCACCCCTGAAGGCTGAGCACAGGGCCGGGAGGCTCATTCGTTTGAAAGCCTGACTCGTTTTAACATGTTAAAATCGAATTTCAACGAATCCAAAGCACACAGAAATACTGCTGCTTTGCAACATGACCTGATTGCAGCAAACTAAGATGAGCTCCGCTACAGAAGTTTGATGCAGTGCAAACGAGCATGATATTAACTATTAATTTCAACAGCATCTTCCTGAAATTCAACGACAGCTGGTAAACACATAGGGGCAACTTTCGGGGGGTCTGCCTAGGGAACGTTCAATCCAGACCTTTTCGTTGGGTCTGGACAGCATGTTGTCGGGTGCTGTGGTTCAGAACGCCGGAGCAATCCAGACCCCGCACCCAAAACACAATTCAGACCCCAAGAGAACCCCAACACCTAGATACACATAGAGCATGTGCGGTTGTCACCGGATGCCGGGCTCGATGCGGGCAATCAATGGCATTTCAATGGCAATGATCAGTTTCGGTCTGGCCCTCCAGCCAAAGCAGCGCGCAGAGTCCCAAACTGTCTGGACGAATGACATGGTTTGACCATGTTTGACTTCGGTGTTCGTTTGGAGGGCAACGTGGCGATATTCTTTACAGTTTTCTTGACGAGGTTTTGGGGATGGCGGCTTGCGAGAGCAACAAGAGCGCATTCTGTCACAGCGAGCCCACTCCTGTTCTTTCTCGCGTATTGTGTCCCCGGCACCTAGCCCCGCACCGAGTAGAGGTGCAGCTTTTGTTGGATGCGCAGCATCCCCGGCACCCAGCCCTGCACAGCTACTTGTTGGAGGGCCCAGAAAACAGTCTATCACGAAGGTCGGATGGAGACCCCGGCCGAGTCACATTCCGAGTACATCCAAACACTGGGTCGTGACAGAAAAAGCAGTCATCGAATAGCGGTGCACGCCCCAAAACACTGCAGGTAGAGGCCTCTGTACAAACTGGAACAAGCTGGAACATTCGTAGCTCGATCACGCCCTCCTGGCCCTAGCCCGTCCGCAGCACCCTCTCGGAAGCAAAGTCGCAGCTGACAATCAAGGTGGCCAACTCAGTGAGCTTGCGTCGCTGTGGAGGGTCTTTTGACAGCTCCTCGTTGCAATGGCGAATCATCTCGAACACCTTGAGGCCGAAGACTTCAGGGGACCTGGTGTCGACGAAGTATAGTTGGAAAAGAACGGATACAAATTGGCGAGCAATGCAGTTTGTGTGACAGGCGGCGTCTTCCCCAGGGTGGCCTTGAGCCTGATGTTCTCAGTCTCAGGCTCCATAATGGCATTGCTTGGGAACTTCACGGAGTCCAGCCACAGCAATTTGCGCACCTCCTGTTCCATCAATGTTCCTCCTTTCTTCCATCTCGTGAAATTCGTCATTTTTGGTTCGATTTCGCTGCATTTCCCGGCCCTCCTCCTCGGCACCGGCGCCGCCGCACCATCACACGTGCTCTCCCGCAGCGCACGGACACTCGCAGCAGACAGCGTGCAGATGCAGCAGCTCGTCGAAGCTTGGAGGGAAGCTTCCAGCTTTAGCCCCAGCGTATGGCAAGCAAACATTTGGACTGCGGAAGATGTTTGCACCACGTAGACAGTGCTGTCCTCTGGGAGCTGTTCGAGGATCACGCCTCGCACGCTGTGAAGGCATCCGTGAGGAACTGGCGCCGGGCTCGGCTGTGGCGATCTGCGGGACCTCTCGGAAAGCAGGACCGGAAGAGCCACTTGAAGCACGCTTGCTTGCCATGTATGTCTGTGCCTTAGTTACGGAGCTCCCTCCTTGCCTGTAGCACGTCAGAGCAAGCACGGGCACCCACCGATTCTCCACCATGGCAGCAATGGATGCTGATGGATTTGGGAAGGTGCTGTCCATGCTGGGCATACTGCTCGTCATGCACCTGCTGCCAGGCGTTGCGTCAGATGACGTCAATGCTGCTGCCGGGCAATCAATGTTGGGACAAAAGCACCGAACCATCAGTGAGAAGGTCAAGAATCCCAGCCAGGACTTCACTCGGCGGGCACTGGGAACCAGGTCATGGACATCGCCCGCAACGAGCAAAGCACCGCAGGCGCAAAAGGGTCGGGCGCGTGTAGAGAGGGACTTTCTGATAAGCGCCGGCTTGCCTGCGAAGGAAAGAACATGGAAGAACCATGCCGCCTCCTGACCACTTACCACTTGTTCGAGGAGTTCGTTGCGCAGCTTGGCAGACACCTCGGCATCCAAGATTCGTTAGTGGAGGGTGAACTCCAATCCAGGTGATTTGGGAGCTCCTCCCGCCTTTCGGCTAGAGGGATGCCCAATGTGAGGAGGACGAAACTGATTCCGATTTCGAGCCGATAGTGACCGATAGTGCCCTGAAGAGGAGCGCAGACAGGCGGACATGCTGCTCATGTTATGGAGGTTGGACAGGAAAATGAGTGAAAGCACCCGTCGGCCGCCACCAGCTTCCATCCCCACTTGTGGTGGCAGCTTCTCAAAGAGCTGGGGTTCGAGGGCTCTTATGTCTACTGCCAAAGCGAAAATGTCCAGCGAGTTGAACAATGCGCTCCCGGGCCTCATCCTAAGGCACCTAAACTGCCCGCATACCACGGCCACGGCGCTTCAGCGAGCCATCCGCCTCACGCCCTGTTTCGATACCGTGGGCTCCGAGACGTGGTTGTTCCTTGCTCGCTGAGCTCCTTCACGCGGCGTCTGCGGGCCACACCAGCCCAACCTCGAAGCTGGAGGCGTCCCTGCTCGAGTCAACATCGCATCCGCAAATGCTTCCGGAGGCAAGGAGCCGAAGATGCGAAAGTCCGGCTGCCCCCGCCGGACATGGAAAGCATTCCATGCCATGCGGTCAACGCCATACCACCGGCGGAGATGCTCGACATGACACGCAGAGAAAATCGTACACAGCAGATCACAGCAGCCTCCGCATGGACTTCGACGTGCTGATCCTTCCCTGCCGCCCTTGATCAGCGCATGCTCCTCACACAGTTCATGCGTTTCAATCCAATGAGATCCACTCGAGCAGTCAACCTCTGGGGCACATGGTTTTATCTGTTGTGGCAACTGTTCACTGTCGACTTCGCTCGCATCGAGAAACTGTGGGGCTACCGCACTTCCGGGCAGTTGGGACCAGTGCACATTGCACCGGAGCAGGTCACACGCAATATGAGCACTCGATTCATCCTAGTAAAACCTGTTACTACACGACGGAGGATGGGGCCATTTGGAGTCAAAGACGCATGGCCCAACACGCAAGTCTAGGGGCACATCACTGCCATGTGTCTTCAGGTTGTACATTGCACACGTTGGCCAGCTGATAACACCTTCGGCCAGGGGCAACTCCATACTCCAACTGTAGCGAGATAACCAAGCCACAGCACAACGAAGGCAAGTTTGCACTCCGATCCTCACGCATCTTCGCCGTCCGGGGCAAAGTTGGTAACTCCCACAAAACACCTACGGTGCTTGGCAACGTGTGCTTGAGAAGGGATGGCGCTCAAAGACCATG